TTCTGTGCCAGATGTGGAACCAAGTGCTCCGTGTACTCTATCCTTGTCTCAGACCCCAAGCCATTATTTAAGGCTGCAAAGTCACCTGTTAATTGTACCCCTTCTCCATGGCCTATAGATTATGCCAGAACAGGACTAGGGGTATGGTTTGAGTAGCAGAACACCCGCCTAGCAGGCACAAGGCCCTGAGTTCAAACCCCAGTATTGAAAAATAAAGAAATTTGAGCAGCCCAGAAGAAGGCAAGGTCAGAGAGGAAGGTCATGATCTCTCTTATGAGTATATAAGAACTAGTGGACCACCCAAACACAGCATCTCACCTCTGCAGTGGCGTCTAAAATGTGATGTTCCTGTGATACGTTCCCAAAGTTGAGAACTTACCTAAGTGTTTTCACCATGTCTCCATGAAGAAGTTTTGTCTTTGGTTTTTGGATTTGCCATTCTGGCGATCAAACCCAGGGCCTTGTGCATGCTAGGGAAGTGCTCTACCACTGAGCTACACCCCTAGCCCAGAACCTTCTTCATCTTTTAAATCCACTGTCCTGCTGGTAAATCACATTGTCAATTTGGCTGTCCTTCTTGGAGCATTTCTAACCTATTGCCTCATTGTGGAGGTGAGAGTACAATAGGGTCCACACAGATGGGTCTGGACCCCAGTATTTTTAATAAACGATGCCTCTCCTTTGTATTCTGTGCCCTCTTTGTGGCTCTCAACCACTTTCCTGGTCTTGGTGGCCAAAACACTGTCTGAGACCATCTGCAGGGATGCAGGATGAGTCCAAGAAATCTTGAGCCCTAGTGACGATCTCAGGACTCCACCATTTTAGTTGAGGTCTTGTCCTTTTGTGGAGTGTCATTTGATTAACTCTTCAACCACTACATCCAGATTGGCTGGAGATTTATGAGAAAAGTAGTTTGGAAGGCTTTATGCTGCAATTTTGTTTGTTTCTCCAAATCATTTGCAAATGTGAGCCTGATTATCTGCTTTGAAATGTACCCCCTTCTTTCTACCCTGTGTCCATTTCAGCCAGATTTTTAGCTGTAGCAAAAGACCTCATTATCACTCCCAATCAATAATATTTTAATTTTTTTAAAAAAAGAATCTTTAAATGTTAAAGTCTTCAAATGCTAGAGGTATGTATTTCCTAGTGACTGTACTTCTGTGATTTGCCCTAACAGAAACTATTTGCTTTATATTGCTAAGTTTTAAATCCCTACTGCATGCAAGACTCTTGATACAAAGAAACCCTCAGCTCAGTACCAATAAGGTCTGTACCCAAGTAGCTAGGGCATAAATACAGACAAGGGACAGCAGCAGAAATGATTTCCTTCCAGAAGAGTTTCATTTCAGATGTGTGGCTAAGGTTTGGATTTGAGAGGGGGGGCCAGGCATTCAGGGGAACAGAAGAGCACACACAAAAGCACAGAGTCTGGACAGTTGTGACATGGGGGCATTCTCTTTCTTTCTGCTCTGAGCCAATGGTCTGAAAGGAGATAAACAGAAGTCAGCTTGGAGGCTGGTACAGCTGGGTTCCAGGCACATCTGACTATTGAGCTGAGGACTTGGGATCTCGTTTAGTGGCAGTGGAGAAAGTGTTTTTCTGAAGGTGGATCAGTGCCACATTATCGCTGTGCTTTGAACATGTACTGTGGCACAGCGTGGAGGAGGCTGGAGCTTAAAATACAGCCACAGGAGGTGGCAGGAGGTGGGAAGATGGAGCCCTAGAAAAACTGTGGTTGGGAAACACATGATGGCTGCTAGAATAAAAACAGATAAGAATATCTGAGAGGATTCAAATTCTTCCTTTAGAACCACTGCCCAGCCTCTCCACCTGCCAGGGAACAGCAGTAGGCAACATGGCATTTTCTTTCAAGGAGAGAAGAAAATGATATTATCACTCAGGGTGGAGGCCCAGGGTTACCCTAGTGTAATGTATTCTCCTCTCCAAGCCACATGTCCCTAACGTCATCATGGCAAGAACACGAGAGAAATCCCAGCGGAGAGACGTTCTATGAAATGCCTACCCAGTCCTTCTCGACACTGTCAAGGTCATTAAAAAGAAGGAAAGCCAGACGAACTCAGAGCCTCAAAGAGGCCAAGGACAATTCAGTGTAGTGTGGTACCCTGGATGAGATCCTTTAGGCAAAAGCTAAAAACCTAGGGGGCGGGGAGCAAGGGAGAGAGATGGCCCAAACAATGTATGCACATATGAATAAATGAATAAATAAACCAAAAAACCCTAAAAACCTGAATAAGATAAAGACTTCAGCTAATAACAATGTATGATTATTAGTTCACTAGTGGTAACAAATAATGCAAGATAGTAACAACATACAAGCCTGTTGTGGGGTATGTAGAACTCTGTACTATTTCACAACTTTTCTGTAAACCTAAGACTATTCTAAAATAGCTTATTGATTTTTTTAAATAAAGAAAAATCATTTATTAGTCACTTGAAACAAATCAATGAATATTAAATGGAAGACCTGGCTGCAGAGGATACTGAAGTGATACTGTTGTAATCGGGAGTTTAAAAAGTCAGTACTCCAGTTAGTACCCTGAGAGAATTTAGGATATTACATCCATAAAACAAGAACAGGATGCTCTTTAAAGAGAACAGAAATAACTGCTGATAATTCAGAATTCACTAAGAAGGGTTGCGAAACAATGCCAACAAAACTATTAGCATGCAAATCAAAGAAAAGGCAAATAATAGGAGAGAAAAGAGCAACATGGAAGGTCGATTCATGAGCTCTGTCAGTTTACTAGGACTTTACAAAAAGAATTATAATCTTAGCTGGGTGTGGTGGTTCATGCCTATAATCCCAGCACTCGGGAGGTGGAGGCAGGAGGATCAAGAGTTTGAAGCCAGCGTCGGTTACACAGTGAGACCCTGTCTCAGAAAACCAAAGGCTGGGGACGTACTGAGAGGTAGAGCACTTGCCTGGCATGTGCACAGCCCTGGGTTTGATCCCCAGCACCACAAAAAAGAAAAGAAAGAAAGAGAAGTAGAATCTTAGTAAATAACTGTCCTGCAGGGACCGTGTTTACATAGTCATAATAATAACGTAAAAGCAGACTGACTTTCAGTTTTCATTATCTGTACACAAACCATGGAACATTAGAGACTAGAATGAAATATCATGACTTGTGATTGGCAGAAGGAATGCACGTGTCTGTTGTGATGGATTACTGAAAATCATGACTGTGGATTCAAGAGGAAAGCATCTTTCATGAACTCTTTAAAAATAAATAGAGTGGAAGAGCACCAGCCTCGTAAGCATTGAGTTCAAACCCCAGTACCACAAAAAAACAAACAAACAAAAAAAACCCTGGGCACCATGGTTCAAAGCCAGCCCAGGCAAACAGTTCGTGAGACCCTATCTTGAAAATACCCAACACAAGAAAGGGCTGGTGGAGTGGCTCAAGGTGAAGGCCCTGAGTTTAAACCTCAGCACTATTAAAAAAAAATATATATATATAAAGCTAATTGAAGAACCCAAAATTATAAGCAGTAATTGGAAGTAGAGAGTCTGAGAAATAAGCGACCCCAAATCCTCATTTCATGTAATAGGACACACACAGAGGCTAAACCAAGTGACATGACAACAGGTGCCTGCTGGGATTTGAGTGCACAGCAGGAAAAAGGACAGGGTAGGGCTGAGAGTGACCAGTGCAGAGTTTTGGGTGGGACCAGGGCTGTTGGCAAAATGGTTTCACTTGTACAAAAGGCTGGACTATCAGAGACAGCTGGACTACTAACGGGACCCCCAGACCTGGAGTCCCACTGCAAGCTGGGACGTAACAGCAGATGCATTAGGGACGTAGACTCATAAACACCACGCAAGGGAGGGAGGTGGTGAACTCCGCCTCTCTGTCTGCCCGGTCTACACTCTGCAGCTGTCTCACCCTGGATTGAGAAGATGCATTCATCCAGTCCAGTTTGTCCCAGGCTCCCCTGTGCAGCCCCCCTCCCCCAGCTGCTCTCCGCCTCTGGACCCCACTAAGAGCTTGTTTGCCACTTCTTCCCCTTGGTCCTCTTGTCCCACTGCTGAATCTGTCACTGCTGACCACCTCCTCCTTGCTGCTCTCTGCCCCGCCACATGTAAATGACTTGCTCTGTTCTGAGTCTTCTCCCTGACGCCCATTTTGTTCCCTTTCTCTGCTCTGTTTCTACATGTACAGATCCCCCAAGTGCCCACCCTTGACTCTGCATTGGCTCACATCTGAACTGGACTCCTTGGAGGCTGTGACCAGAGGGCCACAAAGGTATAGGTGTGGTTCTCAACCAGTTAAGAGATCAAGGTTGTGTTTTTAACACATGTGGAGGATCTCACCTCCTTAAGACATCAGGTTACTCTGCTCTGCTGTCCACTGGAAATCGGGCTAGGGTGGGGACAGTGGGGAGGGAAGATCAGGTAGGATGCGTGAAAGGGTTTTGCCAGTGGCGGAGCACACAGAGTGGAGGTAGAGGGTTGTTATCCTCCGTACTTGTTACAAACAAAAGCTGGATGTCTTAGGTGGTGGGGACTGAACCTACCCTTTGGGGCCATGTGATCAGCGGGCTCCAGGGAATGGCAGCTTGAGTGCAACAGTGGGATTTCCTAGGGCTGAGTCATAGAGACGAACAGAGTCCGTTTCCCTGCGCTCTGGGGATCTCAAGTCTGGAGTCAGGTATCAGCAAAGCCTGCTCCCTGAGAGAGACTGGGTAGCCTCTGCTCCGTGCTTCTCCCCTGGCTGCTGGGGACATCTGTGGTGTTTCCTGGTTTCTGCTGCCTTCATCTCATGGTTTTCCCCCATGCGTGTCTCTGTCCAAGTCTCCCCCATTTTATAAGGTCCTAGTTGTGTCAGATCAGGGACCCATCCTACCCCACTGTGACCTCATCTTAACTGATGACCTCTGCAAAGACCCTGACTCCAAATAAGTAAAGGTTGCTTTCTGAGCTCCCACGGGCTGCAGGTTCAACTTGTAGCTAATCCACTGTCTCCTTCTGGCCTCAGTGGCACCACAAGTGGTGGTGAGAATGAGCGAGAGGACCTGGATCAGGAGTGGAAGCCTCCAGACGAGGAGCTGATCCGGAAGCTGGTGGACCAGATCGAGTTCTATTTCTCTGATGAAAACCTGGAGAAAGACGCCTTCCTGCTGAAGCACGTGAGAAGGAACAAGCTGGGTTACGTGAGCGTCAAGCTGCTCACCTCCTTCAAGAAGGTGAGGCTTGAGGCTCACACGCTGCTCCAGGGGCCTCCAGGGGTCTTGGACTTGTGGCCAAACGTTCTAATAAACTCCCTTGAGCCTGATGACTACCAATTATTGTATTCTGAGTCCTGCAAAAGAGAAAAATGACCAAGAGAAAGGATTTAGGGTCATAATTAAGAGCACACTTGCAGCCAGGTATGGTGACTTATGCCTATAATCCTGACTACTTGGGAGGAAGACATAGGAGGATCACAGTTCAAGGCCAGCTTAGGCAAAAAGTTAGTGAGACCTCATTTCAACAAGCTGAGCATGGTGGTACATGCTTGGAATTCCAGCTATGTGGGAGGTCAAGGTAGCAGTCTGAGGCTAGCCCCAGGGAAAAAGTAAGACCCTATCTGAAAATGTAACCAAAGCAAAAAGAGCTGGAAGCATCAGTGGTGGAGCACCTGCCTAGCAAGCACAAGGTCCTGAATTCAAACTCCAGTTTTGCAGTGGCAACAGTGTACTTGCACACTACATAAAGGGTCCTGGGCTCTGGGATGAGTGTCAGCTGGTGGCAGTTATGAAATGCTGCCTCAACTAAAGTTGGGGTCCTCCTGTAGGCACAAGGGTGCTCAGGCTGGGGCTGTGCCAGGACAGGGGTGCCTGAGGGTGTGAGAGGCACCTGCTAATCTACAATTGGACGACATTCTAGCTTTCCACTTAGCAAGTGGAGTAAATCCTGGGAGGGAGCGAGCACCTAGAACTCCGGGAGAGGAGCCTGCTCCCTCCTTTTCCACGTCTCCAGGGTGCTGTGCTGTGTGATGCCAGGGTTGTCACCTGTGCAGTGACACACAGGTGCCTGAGCATCACCGTGGCTGAGCAGCAGGCACTGTCCCCTGTGCAGCAGTGCACATTTGGAATCTGAACTCTGCTTCCCGGAGAGCTGCCAGACCAGCTGGAACCAGCACTCTGGTTTCCCTTGAGAGAAACATATTTACTACAGTCGTCTGTTGCATAACGGGCTGGTAGTGAGTGGGCCCTGGCCAAGTTGCCTGTGCACTTTGTCAGAGAACAGCAGAGAAGAGCTTTGCTCCCTGGCAGAACTGCCCTGCCTCACCTACTTGTCTGCTTGGTCCTCTTCTTGTGTTCTCTTTCTTTGATTCATTCATCAAATATTCTCTTTCTGAGTGCGGTGGTTGCACAAAATGATATGGCATTCCCTCTGCCAATAAAGAAGCAAGATCCCTGGAAGATTACAGTGTGGCTGCAGACAGTTCCACAAAAGACAGAACAAGTCTTGTTAGGAGCTAGTCGGTCAAAGCAATTAATTCTGCCTAGAGAATTAAGAGGTCTCCCCAGAGGTGGTGGCAGTGGGAAAGGATCTTGAAGGATGAACAGGAGTTTTCAAGGTAAAGGAAAAGGAAAGGGCTATTTATATCCAGAAAACCAGGAGCAAGTGTTCACGTGGAAAATGCTTGTGGGGTTCTGCCTGTGATTCCTCCCACACCGAGGGCCTGCACAGTTGGCCTGGTTTTCTTTCCTCTTTTAGCTAGCTTTTGGGTCTACTCTGCAGCACTTTGCTTTCTTGAAACTGGCTGCAGTATAGAGACAGACTCCCCGACATCCCCAACTCTGAGCAGAGCCCCTGTTCTTCCTAAAGGTTGGTCACTAAGCATGCTGGGAGACAGACAGGACAAAGGCTACAGACAGGGAAGTCACAGAGCTTCTGAAAATCTTACAAAGTTCTAGTAACTGCACAGGACTGAGGTTCCCTGGCTCCTTTCCTGAGGTGGCGCCCGGTCACTTCTGTCACAAGAGAAGCAGGTGTGGTGGGACCGAGGTACTCCTTTGCAAGTGGCTTCTTCTGTCCCAGGTGCTTCCCTCCAACTATCTTTGGAGAAGGTTCGACCATGTTCTGCTCCTCGAGAGCCACTGCCTAGCTTTTCACAACCCTGCACTGACCTGCAACCATCAAGAGTCGCTTTCTGGATTCCTAATTCACTCTCCTCACCTGAAAACCAGCCCTTTGCCTGGACCCTGGGTCTGGGTCACCATGATCGGCCCATGCGTGTAGGGGATCTGTGATTCCTGAACCTCAGCGTGGGCCATCTCACCAGCAGCCTGTGAGCACTCAGCCTCTGCCAAGGCTTTGTCCCGCCCAGGGAGGGAGCCTCCCTTCTGGATTTCCAGGCCACCTCTGAGGCTCAGGGGTGCCTGGACTTCCCGGTTCCTTTGCGTGTGGGCTTCACTGGGCCTGGCCTTGGAAGACTCAGGGTAATTTCCCACCCCACCCACCTCCACCATTTCTTTGGGATGACTCATTCTGGCTTTCCCTTCACCGGAAGTGGGCCTCCAGAAAATTACTGTCTTACAATATAAATATAGCTTTCATACACTGCAGCACTGGAACACAGTTTCCATCAACGGCAGAGGAGGGAGGGGTCATTTCATCATTCAAAAGGCCTAAGTCCAAGTTGAAGAGGGCTCAGAAAAGTCTCAAAGACCTTCTGCAAGCTTCTCTCTTATCAAATGCAGAGGTGCAGAAACACAGCTTCCAAGCAGCATTGGAATATTAAAATCTCCAAGTCCTGTCAAAATGTCAGCATGAGCCCAGTGCCAGTGGCTTATGCCTGTAATCCCAGCTACTCAGGAGGCAGAGATCAGGAGGGTCTTTTGTTTGAAGCCAGCCCGGGCAAATAGTTCACAAGACCCTATCTTGAAAAAACCCTTCACAAAACAAAAGGGCTGGTAGAGTGGCTTGAGGTGAAGGCCCTGAGTTCAAACTCCTGCACTGCAAAACAAAGCAAAACAAAACGACAGCCTGCAGTACTTGACGTCACGATAGCACACAATTAGGAGTATTTGCTGAGAGCGAGGCACTTTTCTAAATTTTATGTATATGTATGCATGTGCCTGTGCCTGTACACATTTATTTATTCATTTAATCTTCATGACAGCTCGATGAGATAGACACTACTAATATGTCCTTTTCACAGACGAGGACAGCAGGACAGTACCTGGCTGAGTAACTGTCCCAGTCTGACTGCCAGGTAGAGGTGACCCTTGGATTTGGGTGTTCAGCCTGCATCTGAAGTGGTAGAACGTGATCTAGAGACTAGTGTCACGGAGCTGCGGAGGGAGGGACAGAGAGAGGGAGGGAGGGAGGGAGGGCGACACCCGTGTGGCCAAGGACCTTCGGTTCCATTTCACGCTTGCTTTTGTTCTTCAGGTGAAACACCTGACGCGGGACTGGAGAACCACAGCGCACGCCTTGAAGTATTCGGTGACCCTTGAGCTGAACGAGGACCACCGGAAGGTGAGGAGGACCACCCCCGTCCCTCTGTTCCCCAACGAGAACCTGCCTAGCAAGATGCTCCTGGTCTATGACCTGCACCTGTCCCCCACGCCCTGGGCCCTGGCCGCGCCGCACAAGAATGGGCGCGTGCAGGAGAAGGTGATGGAACACCTCCTCCAAGTCTTCGGGGCCTTCGGGGTCATCGCGTCCGTGCGCATCCTCAAACCTGGGAGGGAACTGCCGCCCGACATCCGGAGGATCAGCAGCCGCTACAGCCAGGTGGGGACCCAGGAGTGCGCCATCGTGGAGTTCGAGGAGGTGGAAGCGGCCATCAGAGCGCACGAGTTCATGGTCACAGAATCTCAGGCCAAGGAGAGCATGAAAGCTGTCCTGATTGGCACGAAGCCACCCAAAAAGAAGCCTGTCAGAGACAGGAGCCACGAGGAGGAGCCCGCTTCGAGCGTCCCCCTCAGCAAGTCCCTGAACAAGAGGGTGGAGGAGCTTCAGTACGCGGGCGAGGAGTCTTCTGCCAACAGCTCCTCGGAGCCCGAGAGCAACCCCACCTCCCCCATGGCCGGCCGGCGGCAGGCGGCCACCACCAAGCTCAGCCCTTCCGGCCACCAGAGTCTCTTCCTGAGCCCAAGCGCTTCCCCGTGCTCCAGCCCTTGGAGCAGCCCCTTGGCGCAACGCAAAGGAGTTTCCAGAAAATCCCCGCTGGCCGAGGAAGGCAGACTGAACTCCAGCACCAGCCCAGAGGGCTTCCGCAAGTGCACGGATTACTCCTCGGACAGCAGCGCCACGCCCTCGGGCAGCCCCTGGGTGCGCAGGCGTCGCCAAGCCGAGCTGGGGACGCAGGAGAAAAGCCCGGGAGCAAGCCCCCTGATGTCTAGGAGGATGCAGACAGCAGATGGGTTACCTGTGGGGGTGCTGAGGCTGCCCAGAGGCCCTGACAACACCCGGGGATTCCACGGCGGGCAGGAGAGAAGCAGGGCCGGCGTATAAACGGATGCTCCTTTGTGATATCAAGTCCGCTGAAAACCCCCTTCGTGACCAAGGTTCTGAGAAATGCCTGGCATGACGTAGAATGGAACTCAGTCCCCTTGAGATCTTTTGTATACACGTAGCCTCCTAATTTATATATTTGTAAGGCATAGACCGTCTCCTAGGCAGCTCTCCACTCCTCCCAGCACGGCTGTTGCTCTCCTGATGCCAGCAGTGGGAGTGGAGTGGCTCTGGAGGGCTGTGGGACAGAGGCTCCCTGGGAGAGGTCTGGCAGCGGTCCCTTCTGTGGGTCTGGGTTTTCCCTTGCAGTGACTGAGCTGTCTTTGGGGAGACATGTGAGGGCTTCCTTTATGCCCAGAGGAGTTCTGCTGACCAGTGGCAAATAGTTCAGCTAACAGCATGATGTCTGAGAGGAACAACGTCTGTTCCCCCTCACGTGAATAAATAAGAAAACGCCCCAATGGGAGTCATAGATTGTGTCCATTTGACAAGGTGGTGTGTTGGGAGGTCCTAGAGACCCAGTCCTCAGAGTACCCCAGGGCTGTCCCTGGAGTTCCATCACAGTCAATCTTACCAAGCAGGCAGCGTGGACAGAGGGCTGTCTCTCCAGATGTGGTCCTGACTTCACCTGGGAACTTACTAGAAATGCACATCCCCGGCCTGACGCTGGGCCTTCTGAATCAGAAACTCTGGGAGAGCGACCCAAACTCTCCAGGTGATTCTGATGCACCCTAGTGAGAACCACTGGTGTGGACTGAGGCTGTGGGGACCCAGGCCAGTTGGTCTTGCCCCCACGTTCTCTTGTATTTTGTGACATCAACTGACCACCTGTCTGAGCCTCTGTGCGTCCCTGTGAACCGTCGGGTGTCAGTGTCCGGAAGGCAGTTGGTCCACTGTAGATGTAGGCTCTTTTTCCTTCTTTCCTGGCCAAATGACCATGTCATCAGAAGCTGTCCCAGTGTAGCAGAAAGCACTGGTCTGGATTCCAGCATCCACTTGCCACTTGAGGGCAAGTTGATTAACGCACTGTGTCTGTGTTAAGAGTGCTCCATGCATTTCCACACTCCAGGCTCCCAACACTGGCATGAGAAAACTGCCCCCGTCCCTTCCTTCCTGCCGTTAGGGTCTCACTGTGTAGTCCAGCTAGTGTTGATCTCTCAATCTTCAGGAGTGCTTCCAGGCACTGAGATTATGGGTGTGCACCACTGTACCCTGCTGGAGCTCACACTCATAACCACTGGACGATTCTTCTCAGTGCTGCTTTACCATCTATACCCCCTCCTGTGTGCTGGGCGCGTTGCACCCTTTACCCTCTCAGAGCCCCTGTGAGATCTTTATTATACCAGTTGTACGTGGAAAGCTGAGGCTGGAAAATACCACCTCCAACCATGGTGAACATGGAAGGAGACCCTGGATTTAAAATCATGTACAGATTAGCAAGTGATTCTTATCTGGTTAGTAAGTGGTGGGTTCCTAAGTGCCCAGAAGAATTCCTGTTACCTGGTAAACACCTCCAGGAATCACTCAAATTTGCTGTTTCCATACTACCCATGAAAGGCTTGGTTCTAGACCAGGCCACAAGGCCTCCAGGCTGGTGTCAGTACTGTCCTCCCCTCCAGTCCCACCCTGTGCCTCGCTCCCTGGCTTCACTTCCATCATCCCTGCCTTGTCTTTCCCCGGCAGCCATGCCACTTGGGCCATCTGGGCTTCCCCAGCTCTTCTTGGCAGGGTCCCATTCATGCTGTTCACCCCTTTATGTTCCAACACACACTGTAGCCCCGTATTTTAGATAAACTTCTGTGGATCATGATTACTTCTAAAAACACCCACACCCCTCACCTTTCTATGTGACCGCTGGTGAACTTGGCCTCAGCCACTTAAAAATGTCTTGTGGGTGTTGGTTATTTTCCTGCTGTCTAGTCACCCCCCCCAAAGACAGACTTCGCCCTTTTCTTGCTGGGGGGGCTTCACGTTGGCTTTATCTGAGCCTACCCTGAGATTTACTTGGTTCTGGGGTGAGGCTCCCTATGTGACTGGGTGATTACAGTGGCCTGTTGCACAGAGTGGGGGATCCTGGGACTTCATTCCTCTTCCTTCCTCAAGCTGAGGTCCCAGTCTCCTCTTGGGCCCCTCATGTGGCACGCCCAGTGCTTCAGAGGTCCAAGTGCCTTGTTGATGGACCCGCTCCTAAGTCCTGGCCAAGCCTCCACCTGGGGCATGGACTTCCTGTTTGCTAGCACAGCTGACCTTTCTCAAAAAGCTCTACTGGCAAACTCAGCCAGCAGTATTTTTGCAGATGGTTCATTCTTTTCAGTGAAAACCAGCTTCCTCCCCACACCAGGGCATGTCCTCCTGAGGTTCTGGCAGAACATCCACTCTCTACCCATGTCTAAATGCTCCCTTGTCTGTCTACCACCTCCAATGTGCCCACCTGCTCCTCCTCCTGACTTCCCATCAGCCAGTGATGTCACCTCTCCTGGGTCACCCAGATTCAAAACAAGGCCGTGTGGCAAACATGAAGAAAGCAGAACTCTGGAGTTCTTCTGTCTGGATTCATTGTGCCTGTACCTCAGTTTCCCCTTCCATCAAAGTGGAAAATAGTAACTCCTACTTCCCATGGTGTATTAAAATTAGTCAATAACTGAAAAGTTTGTATATGGAAAATGCTAAGAACCGAGGGTCACCACTTCTAGCTCTGCCACTTACCTGCCTCCTCCCTCCCCCAGTGCTGAATTTGTCCCACCTACACCCCTAAGGTCTGCCTGGCTCCAGTCCTCCTCTCTGTCCTCTCCCCCATCATTCCACCAAGCTCATCTTACTACAATAGAGTCCCAGTCGCTTAACATTCCTCCTTAGAAAGTGTTGCTGGCTACCTCTTTCTGCATGAGCCAAACTGCCTCGCACCCCCTGCCAGGCTGGGCTGCTTGCGGGGAGGGCTCTGAACCCCACACGCACAGGACGACATCCTGAGCTGGCGGGCCAGCTTTGCATCCCAAAACATGTCCTTGTCTTTGTCTCATTTAAAGTTACGTCACTCCAGGGTGTGACTGGGTTGAAAACAGCTCTGTTTGGTTTCTGCCACACAAGTTTGAAATACACGAGAACGACACTCTTTGAAGACTCATTGTCATCAGTTATTTCTCCTAAAACGTGAAGTAGCTTTTATTTAAAGTGATTATCATCTACGTACTTTTATCCTGGTGAGTTATAAACATGGTGGAAAAACTACCCAGACCCTGAGAGCAAAGACCTGCGGGAGGAAGGATTGAAGCAACAAGAGTTTTGATATGTTCTCAACACTGGCCTAGATCCTGGGGGTGCTCATTCCTTCAAGAGAAAACAATCCTGAAGGCTACAGCCTTCATCCTCACGAGGCAGGACGCAGGGTCAGCCCTCCGTGACAGTGGGGAGGAGACAAGCCAGCTCTCCTTGCTCTGGGAGCTGGGATGGATGGAATGGTGGGTGCTATCTGTAGAGCGAGTGTAAAGCCCCTGGGTGAACTGGCTGCCCTCACGTGGATCAGTTTCTGGTTGATGAGCCATCCGCACACCACCCCGGGCTAGGAAGCAGAAACTGAGCCGGCACAAGGTGCACCCGTACCTGTGACCACACAGACTTCCAACTGAATTGGGCAAACATCGCTGACAAATGTCGTAAGAGAAGCAGCGGCTGTGCTCCTGTGTGCAGAGACAGCATCAGTTCAGACAGCCTCCTCCACACTGCACCAGCTGTGAACTCACCTCCAAAGACGCCTGTGGACAGGGCCCTTAGGCCCTGGCTGCCCAGTGGTGGCCCCACAGGCAAATCCTAAATCTGCTTTTGCTGCTCCAGCGCCCTCTAGCGTCCAAACTGAACTTAGTCTCATCTAAATGGACCACAGCTCGGCCCTGACAGCGCCAAGCATGCGTTCCTGTGACGGGGAAAGAAACGTCTTTCTTTTCTTTCTCTCTTTTTCTTCTTCCTTCCCTCCCTCCCTCCCTCCCTCCCTCCCTCCCTCCCTCCTTTCTTTTCTTTCCCCTCCCTCTCCCTGTCTCTTCTTGCACTGGGGAACTGAACCTAAGGCATGCTAGACTCTACCGCTTAAGCCAGGACCCCCAGCCCTTTTGTTTATATTTCGTTTTTGAGATAGGGTCTGGCTACCTTTGCCTTTGAGATAAGATCTAGTTACCTTTTCCCAGGCTGGCCTCAACCCCTCAATCCTCTGTTTCTGCCTCTCGAGTAGCTGGGATTATAGATGTACTCCACCGTGCCTGACTAGCAAGACCTTACTTGAAGTCCCAGTCTTGCCTCTTGCCAAGCTATGAGTCCTGTCCCAGCTCTTTAAGCTCTACTTCCTTCACCTGTAAACTGAGCGTGGCCATCCTGCAGCGTCAGTGTTCTTGTAAGGATTTAAAGAGGCCAGACATGAAAAGTTCAACACCATCCTAGCATAAAGAAATCCCCCTCCCCATACGTCGTGGCTAAAACTCTCAGACATAAAATTGTGCAAAGTCAGACGGATGTGGAGGACTTATCTAGAGCGCGAGTCTCTCTGGGTAGAATCAACTGTTTGCACTCCATTTCCTTGCTTAGTCTGAGCCACGAGGAAGAGGCAGTGCATCTCAGCACGTCTTGCTGAGTCCGGTCCTTGGCATGGCAGTTGCTCGGGAAATATTTGCTGAGTGAATGCTGAATAGAAAGTTATTTTCCCTCGCCTTGAACTACTGTAGAGTCCCATATAAATTTAATGTTTCCACATATCTAAGCTGACCCTCTTGCCCAGCTTGTAGGTCCTCAGGGTTTATAAATTCCCTTGTCCTGAAGTGTGGCCCTGGAGTGGACCTTGCAGTGTGCACGGGCCTCACAGGTCTGGTAAGGTATGAAGAAGCTTGCAAGAAAGCCTGGGACGAGGACTCCTGAGCTCGGCACACCTGAGGAGTGTGACAGGGAGAGCGAGAGCCTGGGATGGATGGGGACGGAGCTTTGTTAAGGGGTGGAAGTGGGGTGGGGGTGTGGCATAAGTGGTATCGTGCCTGTGTGGCAACACAAGGCCCTGAGTTCAAACCCCAGTACCACCACCAAGAAAAAGAAAAAGAAACAATAGGGATGGAAGCCAAAGGCTGCTAGGGATGTTCAGAAGTCACTGCTCCTGTTCTGCGTGAGAGGGCGTGATGGTGCCGACCCAGTCAGCAATGCCGGAATGAATCCTATTGCACCAGTGTTCTGTCGTTCCTGATGTGTCATCCCAGGTGTTCTGTCGTCAGACTGCAGTGAGGCGCATTGATGTTACGGACATGAGCATTTTCCTTATCCAAAAATTATTCTTTTAATACAAAAGCTCACATCAAAGAAAAGAGTAAAAGTGAGACAGTAAAAGTTGATTAATTTCACCTTTAAGAAGAACTGTCATACGC